ATCTTGGAAACTGTTAATAAGAATGTCTCAGCCTCCTTTATAGTGAGTTAATTGCAGTGGAGACTTTCTGAATACTTTGAGAGACTTCTTCCCAGATTTCTCTTCACTTGGGCTGAGTTGCTGTTTATGAGATAAGCTGTCAACTGAAAGACGGGCAGCCATCCCTTTGGTTCTTTTCCCAGCCTCCCTACAATCTCTCCCACATCTGTAAAAAAACAAAAAAACAAAACTATATCTGAGTGACAGAAAAGCATGCTATGCATGCATGATGTCACTGATTCAGCTGCTAGCATTTCTGTCTAGATTTGAAAAAGATCCATCTGAAGCCAAGGACTTCAAGGGCAAATAATGCTAACTTAAATGGACCAATATTCAGTCTTCACATAACATGTTTCCTTTGTTCCACCTTGAGTAGAAAAATAACTGCGCATGAGCCACAATAATCTGAACAGAAAAGCAGGAAGAAACAGCAGCATGTTCCAACTGATTAAAAACAACAGAAAAAAAGGAAATGATTCACAAACCACAGGTGCTTAAAAGAGCTATTTTTCCAATCCTGTATAGGCCAACAAACTAGTTATTAAACCAAACATAGCTTCATCTTCCAGCTCTGGATGGGTCAATACAAATGAATGTGTCACTTTTGTATATTGTAAAAGATGGATGGTAAATAACATGAGTGACCAATGCTAAACTTTAGTCTACAAGCGGAATCCCCCAAATTTCCCAGCAGCTGAAGCATGGGCTGTCCAATTAATGTCACAGAATGCCAGCTTCTTTCCGTAAGCCTCCTTATACTGTATAAGACACTCTGATGCATGTGTTACTTAGCCGCCACTAAGGAAGTATGCAATCAAACCATTAAAACCTTTGATGAACAACAAAACAGCAATGAGCAAGCTGATTGCAATCCTGTGATGTACACTGTGGTGGGCCTGAGCCTTGGTGCCTACTAAATCTCTGCCCCTCCTAAACTGGGGGAAAAAATGAGCAGTTTTTTGAAAATTAGAATACTTTTTATGAAGTACATCTTTACTTCCAAAAGTCTCTAGGTACCAGACAGAGCTCAGAAGCAACTTAGGAGATTATTATGATAGGTGGATACAGTCCACTGCTATGTTTTGAAGCTTCCCCAGCTGGCTGCACAAAAAAAAAAAAAAAATTAAAGGGATCTGGGAGTTCGTTGGAAGGACAGAGAGGATGGTGAGAGTGTGTCCTGTGCTAGCAAATCAAGAGGTCAAACTTAGAAAAAAGGTTTTT